TCTTGACGGACGCAACCACCCGGGTCTCCAACTTTAATTTTCTCACTTGTATTTTCATTACTTTTAGATTAGCTGCTGAAGGTGCGAGGGCTTGCCTCGTCGACTGCATAGAAATGGTCTTTTAGCAGGTGAACTCGCTTCCTGTGGAATATGAGGGAATGCTACAAATCTTGAAGTTTCATTATGACCTATTAATCATTACATTATTATTATTATTGGGTTACAGTTGCTTAGTATGCACCTCATTAGAAATATTCTTCTGCTAGCCACTTTCACTCACATGAGGTCTACCTACTTTATAGGCTCACTATTTAGGTGTACAGTTGCAGACTGTAGCCCATGTATTGTAATGCTCAATTTATCAGCTCTACTGCATTCATCACTGGTCAGTTTTTGACTGTAGAATCTCTGTTAGCCATATGTTATTTGGGTTTTACATATGTCAGTGTCACTGCTAGAGACAGTGTGGTCCAACACTAAAAAATAACCAGTCAAAGGTGATTTTGTGGTCAGAAACTGACCCTTGATGAAGGGCTAGAGGATGGCTAATGCTCGCTGTGCAGATGAGCTACAGTCTCTAACAGTACATCAGTGAGGTGGACCTACAAAGGAGGGGTTTTTAGGAACGTTCCTTGTCTATGAGGCAATACACCTCGATCCACTTGTTCAAACGTACAGTCATTGATTTATTGTCAGTCATTGAATCATTGTCAGTCATTGAATCAGTGCCCCCCTGCTCAACCAGAAAACCCCTTAAATCATCCACGTTAGGCTCTCTGAAAATATGTTTTATTTATTGCTTAATTTTTTCTCCTTTTCAGTTTCCTTGGAAATCAAATGGGGAAAGAATATAAAATATAGAATATAAAGAATAATAAATATAGAAATTTGAATGTACTATGGACAATCAGAATGATTATGCTGGATAAGACTGTGCTAGATACAGTCCAATCCCAAGCTCTGACTTATCTTCTCAGCCCGTCAATCACTGCTTAGAAATCATTCCTGTCCATCACTGCCTTAAGCCTTCGGTTTGTGATCAGTGCTCTAGTGTTTAAATTTGAAGCTCTATCTGTGGTCAAAAGATGTTGTGTTGTAAGATCCCATCCCTGATAGAGTATATTGTTTTCTATCCATTTCCAAAATTTCCCCAAAAAATATACACGATGCTGTCAGTGGACTCTAAATTTGTTACTTGCAATTTGATATTACAATGCTCTTTTACTATAGAAGCTAAAATGGGCTGTGTCAAAATGTCAAAGCAAACATACTACAAATGCATCGAGTCATCAAAGGTATGAAATAAATGGTCCATTAACATTTTTCATGCCTGGCATCTCTATCAGCATCTTGGTTGATGTGTACACAGTACTGCTGTTGCTTTGTATCATCATAGGCAATAGCCTGATGTTATGACTTTGACAGACATAAGCACATTCAGTGAAAATGCAAGTTGGCCTACCCACTTTTTCACAGGTTTACCCAAAAATGTATTACTGTTTACGCTACTGCCTTGAAGTACTGGATTGAGATACATTGTTTACAAGAAACGCTAACTCAATCAGAGGAATGATACTTCAGGTAGACTGGAGAGGCAAAAGAAGCACCAGTGATGTTTAGTGTGTTCTTGTTTTAATATATTCAGTTCATTTCCATAGTCAACTAGCTAACCCATGTGTAAGGACATGCTGGACGATGCACATGGCCTGATGTATGCAGAATTAAGGCAAGAAATATGCAAATAATAGCGATCATCAAATAATAATTGTGAACATTTTATTCAGATGGTCAAACAACACAAAATGTTTAGAGATTTTGTAATAATGTACCCTAAATTTCCAAATTCCACTCATTTTTGTGTTTATAAAGTCATTTGCAAATCACTTCAAGTCAAATGACATGTTTAGTTGATTTTCTATGCAAAAATATAAACACTGCAAACCTGAAATATATAATGTGCTGTAACTTCTACACAGGCCACATTTTATGTTTGATTTTCTTTTTAATACGTTACATTAAGCAAATAAACAGTAATTCTACATTGCATTTGCAGAAGTGTATTCTCTGGAGAGGATGTGTTAACTAATTTTCACTTAGAAAATAAACAAAAACAAGTCATTTGACCAATTTTTGGATACAACTGTATCTGAAACCTGATTTGATGTCTCATTTCTGCTATTCCATCCATGTTGTCATACCACAGAAATCAAGAGCCCAACACATAGGACACTGCAATGAATCATTAATGCCAATAGCCAGCCACAAAGGTCAGGAGGTTTGGTCAGGTGTGCATGTCAGTGGAAGTTTGACCAAAAGCCTTCTGTGTACTGCAGAGATGAGGTCACCTGACCCCAGCACTGGAGCGTGTTATGGCTCAACATGGGTTACTCCCAACCCTGCATGTTGCATGTAACAATATTATTAAATATTAAATTAATCTGATTCCTTTTGGGTTATTTGCTTTGCTGAAGTCATATAATTACATGAAGACAAAAGAAAAGCTGACTTCAATGTAACAGATGGCAGGTTTTGTGAAAAAAAGTGACAATTGTGCCTTATGTGTCAAGTATTCAAATAAGGCTTGTATATGTAATTAATGTTGAAAAATAAACATATATATATATATATATATATATATATATATATATATATATATATATGTGTGTGTGTGTGTGTGTGTGTGTGTGTTTTCCATATTAAATGAACTTGGTGGCTGTCCTTTACACTGTGCAAGCATTTCATGGTAAATGGACCAATAGAAATGCTTCAAAATCACTTAAAATAAAACATCTTCACATTAACTTACATTAAAAGCTAAGAACGTTTTTACCTTCTCATGTAAAGTCACTATTTTGGAGCTTTTTTTTTGTACGATGATATGAAAATGTTTCAAACATGAAGATGACAAATGTGTACAGTGCAAGTAGTACAAGTTCCGTAGGCCCACTCGTATGTTAATCATCATTGTAAGGGAGGAAACCGGTTCCTTCAATAAAGTTGCAATAACTACTTAAGAGTTCACTATAAAGCTGCAACATATAACTTAAATAAAAGCTACTTCAAAGTCTTACAAGCTTCAAATGTATATATTGAAGCCAGAGTTGCCATAAATGGTATAAAACTCAGTGCAGGAAAGTGAATGTGCACCACCGTTAGCTTGGCGGTGGTTAATGTAACTATGCAAATCCAATAGAGAATGTTAGCTTTTTTGTAATGAGGGTAGTTGGATAAACAAAGTCTACTTATAAAGTGAAGGTTTATATCATGGAGAAGAGTATTATGCAATCTTTAAGCTGATTACTGTCTTTTCTTGTGTACAGAATTGTATAGGAATACAGGTATGTTTATTTTGTCTCCTGATTACATAACTACATGTATTGCATATGACAACAACACTCTATAACCTGTAATGCAGTCCACAATGACATAACATAATCCACAACAAAACACATTATAGCACATATTCCAACAGCCCAGCAAAGTGTTGCACAACAGCACTTTACAGTAGGAATCAATGCAGTCCAGTATACCTCCCACCATCCCACGATGGTGCAAATTATGCCTTTAAAATGAATGTTTCAATCACACCTATCAGTAATGACACCTTTTCAGGCCAGATATCCTACACCGTGCAATCAAAAGCTTCTCTAAAAACCAGTGATTTACTGAGTCCAACACTATAAATACTTGTTAACAGAGTCAATGTTGGTGTGTAAAGCTGTCCTTTTAGCCCAAAAAGAGGAAATATGTTCTCCAGAAAACTCTGACCTGAAAAATTCTCCCTGTATAATCAATTCAAACACCTCACACTGCTAAATAGAAATTCGCTTCATTCCCAGGCTTATTTTTAGCATGTTCACACAGCTGGCTCTCGCTGCGCTTGAGCTCGTTTGAGATATTTTTACTTCAGTGCAAACAGCCTTCTGAATATAACAGCATCAATGGTGACAGTGTAATCAATGCTTAATAGGTTGGAAGTGCAAATAAGTGCCTTTTTTCAAACTGCTGCATGGCATCAATCACATCAATGTATATAATAAATGCTTAGAAAGAGGTTGGACGTCTAAAAAATCAGTTTTTGTTGGGAACTGAATGAAAACCGACCCAGTATTGTGGTACCAACACTTGGCATTGATCTACCAATGGGCTCTGCTGCACTTGCTTGGTCTCATCAAACCTGAAGAGGGAGCTGTGAGCAGCACTTACTGTACAGCTCCAGAGGAAAGACCTCAATAAAACCTAAAGCTTGCTTTAATCGAACATTTGGTCCCAACATTTGCCTGGACTTCATTCACCATCACTGGCTGTGAACACAAGCTTCAGATGCTTCCTGGGATTGAAACCATTTTTAATGTCCCCCAAATGGAAGGCAATTGCATCTTAACTTAGAGGCATAAAACAGACCAAGACAGTGAGACCATCTCCAAAGATCTCTGCAAAGCATTAAACCAAATAAAACAATGAGTCAAAACCAAGTTTTGTAGAAAAATGAATGTGTGCAGGATTGCAAGGATGCAGAGGCAGGCAGGGAAGCCCAACAGACCATCATGCTCCTGCTTTTTTGTAAGGGTTTTTTAATAGAGTTGACTGAAAGAAGACTCCAGGCAACATGCCACCACCAAAGCCACAGCATCTATCATTATCCAATAACGAAGAGAACAGCCCAGCCAACACAGCCACCTGCTCTCCCCTGCCTCTCTGGCTTCGCCTGGGCATCTCTCATTCCTGTGAGGAGAAACTCTCGCTCCTTTCTGCGCACCAATTCACTTTCAGTGTGTTTGAAAGATGAGCAAAAAATAGATCTTGAGCGCTTGAAAGAAGCCCTTCTTTCCTCATAGTCTGATTTGCTTCAAACTTCTGGTAGAGAAGCTTCTCTGAGCCTCTGAGCAGGCAGGAACAACAGAATTGGATTTCATAAAGTATGACCACAACATGGCTTTAAAAGACCCCATGCAAGACCTTCCCCCTCCCACTTGTCCCAAAAAAGGCTTGCCAGGTACCTTCAGCAGCCGGACGGAAGGCAGGAAGGCGGCATGGCACAGTTTCCGGATGGTCCAGTTGAGGGGCCGCGGAGCATCCAGCTGGTTCGGTGTGGCTCCCGGCCGGACATTCCCAGCGTCCGGAAAAGGGCCCCACATCGGTGCGGCGGGGTGCGGTCGGCGTCCGGCCAAATCCCAGAATCCCAGCGCCGCTCAGCTCAAGGAGCATGACCCTCGCAAGGAATCCAGAATCCGGACGGGAAAGAGCGCAAGCCGCCCCCCCACCCCCCAACCCCACACCAACACCAAGCTAACCCCTTTGTCCGGTCCCCCGGCCCCCTGGCCCCTGGCCCCCCAGTGTCCTGACCCCTCTTCCTCCCCCTCCCCAAGGAAGATCCACAGGGGGACAGAGAGATCCGGAGAAAGTGGAGAGTCCCGGAGCAGTGGCAGCAGTGGCGGATGCTGTAGAAGCGTGGCGGTGGATCCACAGGCGGCGGGAGAGCGAGCGCACCGGAGAGTGGTTGGGGAGGAGGGGGAGGGACGAGCAGAGGAGAGAGAGAGGGAGAGAGAGAGAGAGAGAGAGAGAGAGAGGAGGCAAGAGAGCAGCTCTGATGTAGAGTAACGCAGCGCCGTTTCCAAGAAGCGAGAAAGATATGCTGAGGAGAGGGATAGGGAAAGAGAGAAAGAAAGAGAGAAAGAAAGAGAGAAAGAGCGCAGCATGGAGGTAGAGAGAATGAAAGAAGATGAGGAAGGAGATGAGGGAATATAACAGCAAGAGAGAACGCAGGGATCGAGTGGAATGAAATGACTGATAGCAGAAAAGCAGGGAGAGGGAGAGCGAGAGAGCGGGGGATGGACGCAGAGAGAAAGTAACGAGGGAATCAGAAAGAGGAAAAGAAGGATTCTCGTGTTCTGAGTTGGAACTTTTTGGAAAATGAACATTCCGCCCTCTGCACGGTCCTAGAAAACCACTAAAAGTGAATTCACCACTGGCAGCGGAAATCCCTCCAGCTCTCCCTCTGTCGCTCTCCATGTTCCTCTCTATTCTCTCTATCGCTCTCTCTCTCTCAGTCTGTTTTTGGCTCTTTCTGTTTTTTCTCCCTCACTTTATCCATGCTCTTAATTTTTCTCTCTCATTCTTTCTCACTACCCATCGCTCCCTATTCCTGCCTTTCTCTCTCTCTCATCTGATTTTCTTACTCTCTCTTTACTTCGATTTAAAGCTCATCTTCCATTCTCTCTGTTTTGTGTGCTGTTTTTCTCTCTCTCTGTCTGTCTCTCTCTCTCTCTCATTTGGATTTGAAGCTCAATGTTTCTATCTCTATTTCTTTTTCTCTTTATCTCTATTTCAGTTTCTCTCCCTTTCCATCACTTTCTGTCTTTCTCTCTCTCTCCATTGCTCATTTTCTGTTTGTCTCTGTCTGTTTGTCTCTCTCTTTCTCTCTCTCTTTCTTAGATCTGTGGATCATTGTGTTTGTCTATATCGATCTTTCTTTCTTTCTTTCTTTCTTTCTCTCTCTCTTTCTCTTTCTCTCCTTTCTCGGATCTAAGGATCTCTCTCTCTCTCTCTCTCGCTCTTCTTCCTCAGATCTGTGGATTACTCTTTGTCTATATCGATCATCTTTCTTTCTTTCTTTCTTTTATTCTTTCTTTCTATGTCAATTTCTCTCTTTCTCTCTCTCTCTTTCTTTCTCTCCATCCTCAGATCTAAGGATCGCTCAGTCTATCTCTCTATTCTCTCTCTTGCTTAATCTGTTCTTGGATTTGAAGCCCACTCTCTCTCTCTCTCTCTCCTCTCTCTCTCTCTCTCTCTCTGTCAGAGTCTTTTTCTCCCACCTATGGGTCTTTGAGGTCACAGATAAAAGGATAAAAGGATGAGAGAAACACTCTCCCTTGTTTAGAAGCTATCTTTCACGCTTATCCCTCCACCACTCTCTCTCTTTCTCTCACTCTCTCTCTTTCTCTCTCTCTCTCTGATCTCCCACTGTCCCCCATTCTCACTCATCTTTTCCCCACCAAATCCCCCCCTCCCCTCATCCTTCTCCAAACACATGCCGCATTGCCGGAGCAGCTCCTTCCTCCACCTGCTCAATATTTCAGCGGAGTGGACGATCCGCAGCAGCCGGTCACTAACAGACCTGCCTTTTCCTGAACGGAGTGAGAGGAGTGATCTGTCAGGAGTAAAGCGCTCACTGAAACAGTCCAGCCACAGAAAAGGGAAGATACTCGGCTGAGAAAAGAGCAGGAGGTCACTGAGAAAAAGCTCCAGATAGAAAAGTGATTTGCTTCAATTAAAGAACAGAAAATGAAATGTTACACGGCGTCTTTTGCTGAGAAATGTGTTCTAAAACAGGCCGAAGCACAACAGTGACCATCTCACTCTGGACCTCTGCACTGTCAGAGTTTGCTGCTCTGCTGTTTGTTTATTGTTGTTTATGTTTTATTTTGATTACTAGTGCTGCTGTATTGCCTCTCATGTTGTAATTGCTTTGGCAATAGTGCATGGAAATCAGCCATGAGTGAGAGAGAGAGAGAGAGAAGAGGCTGTGTGGTCACTGTATGACAGGTGAGGTCGAGAAAGAGATACCCCCACCCTTCTGACCACAACCCCCACATACCCCCACCCTCCTGACCGCCACCCCACATCCCTCCGCCCCTCTGACCGCCACCCCAGATACCCCCACCCTTCTGACCACCATCCCACATACCCCCACCCTTCTGACCACCATCCCACATACCCCCACCCTTCTGACCATCACCCCACACACCCCCATCCTTCTGATGCCCCATCTCACATTCCCCCAACACTACAAATATGTATAAAAAATTGTTTCCAAATTTGTATAATTAATAATTATAAAATAAATTATACCCTTTTTCTTTTAATATAGTCAACAATGTTGTTCTAATCATTGTTATTATTTAATATATTATTATATATTACAATATGTTGTTGTTGTCATTGTTGTCACTTTGGCAATACTTGAGAGAGAGAGAATATGACCGTGAGAAAAAGGGGGAAAGCGTGAGAGACAGATATATAGAGATAGGGAGAGAGAGACAGAAAATATGAGAGAGAAGACAGAGTGAGGGAGAGACAGATATATAGAGATAGGGAGAGAGAGACAGAAAATATGAGAGAGAAGACAGTGAGGAAGAGACAGATATATAGAGACAGGGAGAGAGAGACAGAAAATGTGAGAGAGAAGACAGAGTGAGAGAGAGATAAAGAGTCTGACAGAGAGAGATAAAGAGAGAAACAGAGATGAGGAGAGCGATAGATACAGAATATGGCAGTGAGAGGGAGAGAGAGAGGAAAGGACTGCAGAGAAAGATGAGAAAATAAAAAAGAAAGAGAAAGATTGAGAGAGAGAGAGAGAGAGAGAGAGAGAGAGAGAGAGAGAGAGAGAGATGTGAGTTGTGTTGAATGTTGAGTGTGTGGTGGTGAAGTTGAGTGAGGGGTGCGTTCTCTTTTTCACACTGCAGTAGACACACTTCAGAGACGGACCACCGAGTCATTCATCACCGTGTGTGTGAGAGCCTGAGGGTCAGTGAATACACTCACAGACACACAGTACCCTGACCACCCCATCCTTCGGTCAGCCTCTCAAACAGAGAGGGGGGGCAGATAGATAGATAGATAGATAGATAGATAGATAGATAGATAGATAGATAGATGGATAGATAGATAGAGAGCTTCAAAGGAGGTGATGAGCGAGAGACAGAGAGTGAGTTAAAGAGAGAGAGAGAGTGATGTACTGGGTGAAGCGGTGTGTGTCTGCAGTGTGTGCTGGTGTCAGTAAACCTCCTCTACCTCTTCACACTCTCAAGCGACACCACCACCACCATGCGCGCCACGTGAGCCTTCCTCACGCTCCTCTTCCTCGCCTCTCTCCCTCGCGTGCCCAAAGTGTCACGCATGTCTTGAAGCCGGTGCAGGTTGCTATGGTAACCTCAGTTTACTCAGCATCCTTTGGGGGGTGTGGAACCGGTTCTAATGAGCAGGTACAAGCCCTCCAAACGAAGTCGGATCCCTATTGGAATTTTACATTCCACCTTAAATGATGCAGCATGTGCTTTCTGGCACCTGAGGCATTACGATAACTGCTGCACCATTTAAGGTGGAATGGGAGAATGTAAATAGGATGCTGGCCAATAGGAAGCCAACTTTCTCGTGGCCTCCAATCAGATCTGATTTCACACTCACTCACACCACAACCCTGAGGCTAGTTGAGTCACAGGTGCATATGGAGGCCTGAAGTAGCACTGTTATAAAATGCTAATGCTAATGTGAAATGTCACTATAAAGGTTAATTCTGCTTATTTGCTCCATGTTGTTACATTGTAAGTCACCATAGTGGAAAAAAATCACAGCGGCCTTAAGAATCACTGCAACCTTTGAGCAACAAAGCATACAAAAAAATGTTTATAAGCATAATCTCACCGTAATGATATGAATGAAGTCAAACGTTTCAGTGAAGTACAATTATTCAAGTAAGGTAAGAATATTTTACATAAACATCAATTATAAAATAGTTATTGGCAATTCAGAATTTCTTTTTATATTTTCTGCCAAATGAGAAGAGCACAGTCACTGTGACAGTTAACAAAATAAATAATAATTTATTATATATTTATTACCATCCAAGTTTAGATTTCTGTCATTTTTTAAACCGTTTTTATTAAAAGGATTTTTTTCAAATCTCACGCTAGATATCTTTTATATTCTGTTTTTTAGATTTCTCTCACATTTTCTCTCTTATTTTCAGTGGTATTTAAAATTTCTTTCTTTGTTTTACTTTTTTTAATCTCCTACATTCTCACATGTTCAGTAATTTTTACATTTTTTATTTCACTTTTCTGATTTCTCTTATTTTCAGTGATATTATCTACTCAATTTTGGAAAGATTTTTTTTTTACTAACTGCAATTAATTTTTAATCTATTTTTTCCAATGATATTTTTCATTTATTTTATAGGTTTTTTATTTTTTTATTATTTTAATTCATTCTTTTTTTATATTTGTAATCTCTTTTTTTTATCTCACATTTCCAGTATTTTCTTTATTTCATAAAATAGTAATAATTTTTAATTATTTTGATGAATTTATTTTAAAAATTTTATTTAACATTTGTTCAAATTTATTTAATTTCTTTTTTAATTATTCATTTTTACTTTTGTTTTTATTTACATTTGTAAATCTCATATTTCCCATGATTTTTTTTTCATTTTTAATAAGAATTTTTTTCTTATTCATTCTCATATTTTCTGTATTTTTTAT